TTCTTGGTTCGCCTGGACAGCGAGAAGCACATTGACTTTGCCTTGACTTCTCCCTTCGGTGGTGGCCGACCAGGGCGTGTGCGCCGCAAGATGATGGCAAGCAAGGGCGCCGGCGGAGGCGGTGACGAGGAAGAGGACTGATTTTTGAGCTCGAGGCAGGGGGATTTAGCTGCATTCCATGTTGAGTTGATGAAGATCAAGTCGATCAGTGTTTGAGCAAAGCAAGATTTGCTCTGAGTCAAAAGTATGACTTCACCGGGGGGCACAGGGTTTTGTTTCCAATCCAGACAACTTGCGCCAGTAGTTGTTTGCTCGTCGCAGGTCCTCAACTGATGTGAGCGATGCAGCACTTGGAGAGCTGGCTGGCACGGTTGTTGAAAAAAACAAGGGAAATGGCTTTGCACCACTATAAGCAGGCTTACGGGGGAGAGTGCCCAAAAGGAGGAGACATGCCCGAGCTCTGACAAGGGCTCAAACATATTTGATGCCGCCTACCGATTTTAGTGGTTGTATACTTTTGCTGTAGTTCAGCACGCTTCAGACACTCGACATTCCACTTTCTACCCAAAGAGAATTGAAGCGGAAGTACTGTCCCATGCCTAGTCGAGCATGACAGCTACAGCTACCCATCTAGGTTCCAATCTTTCTCAATTTGTAAGTGGAGCTCATTGACAGACAGGTATCGAGACCCACCTGGAAGCCACAGGCGGATTTGTTTGTGAAGATCCTCTCCAAATACCTTCGATAGAAGACAAGAGTTGATCAAGCGCTTTGGTGTGCCCGGATTGAGAGGCAGATTCAACGATTCGATGTTTTCGTTTCAATAAGTGCTTCAAGCCAGTAGGTTTCGGAAGCCAGTTGCTAGACTCCTAGGAGGAGGAGCCTTGTCACATCTTGTCACACTAGAACTTCAATGCAGCGGAGTAATATATAGTTACAAATTACAAATTAGGTTCTGCTATCCGGCGTTGGCTCGAGGTGCACGCTTAGTGAGTTGGAGGGCACTCCCAACTTATAATTGACAGCTTTGACGAGGCGGACATCATGAACTACCTTGCAAAGAGTAACTTCCAATGAGCAAACAAGGACCGTCAACTCACCAAGCCTATCAACAACTAGTTAACTTGGAACCATTTTTCTGGACTTCCACTCGCAATCTTTGCCGTTACAGCAGACAGTTCAATGCTACATACAGTCACATGTGGTTGCATGCTGTACATGCCGTGTGGTGGCGGGATTTATAATATAAGACATGTTTGTTTTGACCTGCTGACCTGCTCACCTATTGTTTGCCATGCTTTTGGAGCGGAGAGGTCAGCCGGATGCTCTAAAAGGGGTCCAACTGCTTGAAGGAATAGAAGGTCCGTATGGCTTGCACATCGGAGGAACTTGGCTTTAGGCAGGGAGATGAGATTGAGGTCTTCTATCAGATGCCTTTTCCGGAGGACCATGGAAATGAGCGAGTCGAACTCGTGGGAGACAGATGGATACTAAGTGCGAGCCCCTCACTCGGGGCGAACCGGCCTCGTATTGGGTGGACACAGAGGTGGCTCCCAGCGATCGTCACTGATGTGGTGACAGGTGCGACAATAGCTGGTGACAAGAAAGTTGAAGCCATCAAGTTTCGCTGGGAGCAGCTGCAATGGTATGACTGGGCGACTGGAGATCATATTTCCATCACTAAAGATCCAAATGCTTTGGTATCAGAGGTCAGCCTTCAAAGCGTTCGAGCTAGAACTGCCAATGCATGGAATGTCCATGCAAACATGCCATCAACATTTAGCGGTGTGTATCGAAGAAGATCTGAAGCAACGGTGGGTGGGTGTGAGGTTTCAGTCTCCTTCATCATATTTCAATGGGGTGCAGCAAAGATCCCCATTGACTATGACTCTCATTCATGGGGTGAGGAAGGCTCTACCATTTCCAATCGATTCATCCGCACCTTCTTCAAGGAGGCAGTGACGCCTAAACTAGCTCACGACTACGAGGTGCTGACCGTGTTCATCCAGCACAGCGACGAGTTTCCTCGGCTTTCCCCCGAGTTCCTGCTGTCGGTGTGTCGAGGAAGAATCATTTCCGCGTTTTACTTTCTGTGGCCCATTCAAGGACTTCAGAGCTACGGCTGCTCAGCTTGGTTTGCACAGTTTGATTCTAGTGACTAGTGTATCCAGCTGGATGATAATCTTTGTTCAGGGGAGGTCCACCCTCTTTTGAGTTCATGTAGATCAAGTGAAACCAGTGAAACGGGGATATGATATATCAACTGCACAAGCAATCATATTGTGCGCAGAGCTTCTTTGGTTTCACAGCGTGCGCAGCTTGTGTTTCGATCCAACAATTGAATATATAGACTTTTGTGAACATACTTTTGTTCAAACACAGGTGAGATGCGTCCAACGGCTGCTGCATATGTCGATTCGGAGCTGCTGTTCCAGCTAGTTGCCCGAATGGAGGCATGTGGAATCAGTACGTGTTGGCCACATCCATTACAGCTTTGGAAGAATTTAACCTCCAAAGAATGGATGGTCAGTTTGTGCATTTGTCCTCAATTTCAGATTCCTCTAACAACGCGTCTCTCCAAGAGTCTGGTCTTGCAAAACCCCTTGAGAGCTGCTTTCTTGGCTTTAGAGACATTGAAGCTTTTGAAGAAGGATCGACAGGCACTCAGTGCAGATTGTGGCGAAGCCATGTCCGAGGAAGTTGTGGCGAAGCTTGGATACAGCTATGAAGGTGTTGACGTGAAAATGGTCAAAGGACAGCAGCAGCTTGCAGAAGCAATGTACTTCTTGTTGACTCAGCCAAACTACACCAATGACTGCGTCTACGTGCAGGAACGAGTCCAGACAGCTTTGGAAGCCAGATGTTTTTTGGTGAACGGGAAACTGGTCCAGATTCTGTACACCAGGTTTGCAAGGATCGATGGCAATGGGTATGTAAGAGACTATGAAAAGGAATCCGCGGAAGATCGTGCCCGGCGCGACTGGTTCTTTGACGATCATGCTGCGTGGCAAAATGCCTTGGAGCAGATCCAGCGGCTCTCACAGCGTTGGAATCTCTGGCTCATGGCCCAAGCGTCGGAGTCCACGGTCTCCGTTCGGAACCTTGGTAAACAACCTTTTGGCGAAGAGAGCAAGTCTTGCAGGTTTGCCTAGGTAAACTTCACAACCTTTTGGTTCCTCTGGATGTGGCAATGTGGACGCCTCCTTGCTAGTATGAGCCTTCCTCACCTTTGAAATTGAACGTTGAACTGAATGAATATATATATATATACTGTATATATATATATATGATATTTTATACGCTATTTACCACTGCGGTCCTTGCAGTTATGGAGCATAGCTGGAACCTCTATGTGCCCTGCCAGGGGTTGAAACTGTAGTGGGTAGTTCAGTATCCAAGGATCGACTATCTTTTGGAATATATCTCGCCTGGCCGAGCGAAGGTGTGGACCTGTGAAGTTGGAGAACTTGGGCAGCTTGCCGTGAAAGGGAGGGCAGAAGATAAGTTGAGTTGTTTCCAATCCAGGTTTACAGGTTGAAAGACCTAGTAGGATTACTGCTTGGACCCTCATAGTTCTCTACGCTACCTTTTGGCTGGTTCCCTCTTAAAATATTGTTCTCCAACCGAGTCGAAGGACCCAGAAAGGTGCAATCTTGCTGCGGTGACTTTGGGATCAATCAAGTCACTCGCCTTCAGCTGCTAACGAGCTTTTAGGTGCGCTTTGGAGCCAACAAGTCCTTCAATGACAAGTATTTTGGTTTGGATCTTTGCTGTTGTGGTCACCAATGATGCCATCCTTCTCAACGCAAAGGGTTTCCTTTGGCGACCCATTTCTGTCGGCTAGTTTGGCTGGTTGGCCTTTGACTCTTTCGCAAATCCAACGGTAGAAGGGGGACAAACTGCTTAGGAGCTTTTCTGCGAAAGTGCACAGACTTGTTTCCAGTATCCAAGGTACAGCACTGGCGGAATAGATCCTGTCATCGTGTTTGATGCAGTCTTGAGCAGTCTTTTGTGGGAGCAAATGCAGGATGTACAGATCCCTGCAGGAAAAAAACGTCATGTCTAGCGTGTTTAGCAGTTTGTTCTCGAGCCTTATCCAAGTGGTGAAAAAGGTGACAGCCGTTGTTTAAAAACACCCTATTTGCGATGACCATCTTGCTGGTGTCGCAAGGGAACTCCTTGAGGCACCGTTCTTCCTCGGTGCATATGGTTCAAAAAGCACAGCGTGCTTAGTGTCATGTAGTTTGTGCAGACGAATGCGTACCCTTCCTGCGTTGCTGCTTTTGACCGATGTCGCACAGTGGCTTGGTGAGCCAGTTGAGTTGATTTTTTGTGGATGCTTTGCAGATTGTTTGTAACCCCACTGCATTTCTTGATCATCCTCGCTGAGAGTTGTTGTCTTGCATTCACTTTTGCAATCGTTTGCTTGCTGAGCATGCGCCACCTGCCTAGGTTTGGACATACCAGAAGTCCGCAACGGCAACGCACTGGCCGCTTGACAGTTGAGAAGCAGCCGGGGCGGCTGTTGTGTTGGGGGTGGAACCAGCAAGCAGGCGAGGTCATCGCTTTGCTTTATGCTGGAAAGGTCAGTGTTGTGCAAAGTCATCATTGCTGTTTGCACGGTTTAGATTTGGACTCTGGTGACGTCCGAGGGTGCTGTTTGACTAGTGGGTTCCCATTGCGATTCCGGACCTTGTTCGAGGATCTAATGTGTCTCTTCTGTTCTTTCTTTGGCAAATTATCTATTGAGATTTCCCTTCGTCAATTGGATCCTTCACTTGTACTGTAGGTCTTTTCAGCTTATGCATGGGATGGGTCAGAAGTAGATCCTGCTCTAGACTTTCTATATTTTCCCGCTTGTTTGCTTGCACTTATTGTACTTGAGACACGCATATGTCACCTATGACCCTTGTTTTGGGCTCAAACTTTTGTTTTGCGTTGCAGATCCCTTCATTGCTGTCATTAGAGGATCGCTGCCAGCCAAGGCTTGGCCAGTTTCGATGCCGGTGGTCATTTCAATCTAGAAGGCGTGCAAACACAACTGTCTCCAGGACAACTAGCCGCCTTTTCCATTGTTCCGGTTCTTTAGATGTGTATTCCGTGGCTTCTTGTGTCGTTTGGGTGGTCTTGACCTATACATGTCCCTGTGGCTTCCTCATGGAACTTTATTGCCGGGTGCTCAGATGACTGGAGTGAACTTGCAAGGCAAATGGTTGAAGTTATCCTGCAAACATGTGATTTGCCAAGAGATGTTGCCGCCACACCCAAAAACATTTTGGCTCCAGTTTTGGTGTGGTCCTGTCCTGGCTTTGGTGCGAGGGTACACTACGTTCATGGTAGATTGTGTCCTTAAGCTTTTTGTTGCCCTCATTGCCGTTGGCTTCGGTGAGGACCTTTGATACATGATACCCTCTCTCCATACAAGGAAGTAGACAGCCCCCTGTTTGTTGAGGAGGCACATACAGGAGCCATTGTCCACTTCCACGATTGTTGGAGAGAGAGAGAGAGAGTACATGAAAGAACATGAAACCCATGTCATGTGCAACAGATAATATGTGCTATAAGGCTATAACCTATCTATATATAAGCTATCATAGAGGTTCTCTTGTTTATTTGCTTTCATCTCCTCGCCCCAAACCCACTTCCAAAAAGCCGGAAGGACCCTCAGCTTCGTGGGCGCAAAGTCAACGAGACCGCTCTGTCGCTAAGATGTTGATTTATTGCAAGCGTTTGCAGGGTTGTCTTGCGTTCCGTGAAATTTCAGATTGTGTTGTCCTTCAACTCCTGAGATTGTCCTAGCTTAGGTTCAATGAGTCGGATCGAAAGTCCGTCCATGATGTCAATGACACAAATGTAGTTCAGCGAATCTCTCTACGCCAGATCTACTGGGAGCCATGGACTTTGCATTCTACCAGAATATACAGCAGCGCCACATGCAAAAATGCAAGGAACACGATGTTGGGTGAGGGGGAAGAGCACATCCGGAGAGTCTTGCTGGAGAGGACTTTATACATGGTGGAGCACAGTGGAAGCAATGGCTGTAAACATCGCCAAAGTCTAAACGGAGGGCACAGTCCTGCCTCAGGGATGGTGACTGGAGGAGTGAGTATGTCGAAGGCTTGCAGCTATTCATACCTTAGCCGCTATGGTCGTGTTCCAACGCACGTTCAAGCTCGGATTGATGGCGATTGTTGGGGGACGGACTACTCTTGCACACCAGCCAAGCATGTGTACCCACCCTTTGTTGCTCGGTATTTTAATGAAGTAATGAACGTGCACTGCCGGGTCAATCTCTCCTTTTATGGATGATACTGCAATGCCTCTCTTTTGCAAAGATCAACTCAGCTTGACCTACAAGGTTTGCAGTGCAGTGCCAGATGTCTGCAGTGCAGTGCCACATTTCAGTCATCCGTACTACAGACGAAAGGCCTTCTTTTGCAAGGCACTTTCTCGTCCGGAAATGATGCTTCGTCTAGCGTGGATAGAGATGCATACCGATACAGTATAGCGGTGCATGAGACTGAGCTGATGCTGCTCCTGTTTTGTACGCCAAGCACAAGGATCTTGGCATTGTAAAGATGACTACAGTTTTGCAGCGCGCAGCATCACAGTGCCTCCTTTGTAACATACAGCTTACGACAAGGGTAGGAATGTGGACTCCACCTCACTTGCAGCGAAAGCGATTTTCTCACCTCTCGAGGCGGCTAGAGAGCAAAGGGGCCTTTTCCACAAAGCGGAATTCAGCGTTGGAATTTAGCTCACTGTGAATTCAGCATTGTGTGCCATCTGAGGTCAAAATGACATGCCCTTCAATATGATCGTGAAGGGTAGCGGGGAGATTTTTGTTTGTCGCTGTTCAGAGACTTTTACACATGTGCATAGCATACCATTTTGTTATCCTCATGTCTTCAGCAATCAGAAGCCAGCAGTCATAACACTGCCTTTTCATGGCAGGCCCACCTCCAACACCATTCTGTCAGAAGCTTTGCAACAAGTCGAACATTGACCTGAGAGGTGCCAAGACTTGCAAGGAGCTTCCCGAGGATACGGGTTTAAGAGGTTTTCAATTGCGCTAATTTTACATGCCCATTTATATAGTCTTGACACCGCCTGCAGTTTGATGTGACATTTGGTGCGTACTTCACCCTGAGGAAGACTGCAAGGCACTTGGCTTCTACCAAAAGAAGCAAGGTGAGTATCGACTTTGCATTTGGCAGCCCCAGTGGAAATGTACAGAAGACTGGACGACTGCCTGTCTACTTTCGGAGCTCCAATGTGATGGTCCCACTTCGAGCGCCAGGGGTTTTTGTCACTCGTTGTGCTACAAGACAGACCTGCGAAGTATCGACAGTTTCTGCCACTTGCTCTCTCCTGAGGAGTGCTCAAGCGGTCAGTTCTACGAAAGCGACGGAGATGGCAATCGCAGAGAATGCAAGGAATTGAGTGGATCGGATTCGATTTCCTGCGTTGCATCTTCCCAAGCTGAATGTCCAGGCAGAAACATCACTTGCCCAGGAAACATTGACTTTGAACAGAGCGAAGAGCTGAACAGCTCCGAGTGCCGCTCGATGTGCTACAGAACCAACACAGCAGTGTCAGGTTTGTCTTGTGCGGACTTAAGCCTTGCGCATTGCAGTAGTGCCCAATTCTACGAAAGTGATCGGCATGGTCACCGGCGCTTGTGTGTCCCGCACGGGAACAGGTGCGCCGCTGATCCAGCGCGCTCTTGCTCTGGAAATGTCGCACCTTGCTCTGATGACAGAAGCCATCCTGCATCTTCTCTGCCACCATTGGTTTTTACAACCACAGCGGCATCCAGCTTGGCAAATTCCTCTGAGAGGTTGCTTGCCAACGAAGTGCCACACTTTTGCCTGTCTCTCTGCGAGAAGACTGACACCCGCAGCATGAACGCTTCTTGCGCTGACTTGCCTGCAGCTTCATGCGAATCTCAAGATTTCTATGAAACAGACAGTGGGGGTAAAAGAAGACTTTGCTATCAAAGCGGTGGCAAATGCCTACAAGACTCCTCTAAAGTCTGCGACGAACAATATTCACTGTGTAGGAGTGGGCATGCGGAAGCCAACTCTCTTGAGTTAAATGGCTGCTATTTGTATTGCGACAAGATCAACACAAGGAGTTGTGGGATAGGGCCGGTCATGCTTAGTAGGTTCACGATTCTGGTCTAGTCCCTGTCAACGGGCCTTTTGTTTTGTGGGCCTCAGGAGCAGAAACAAATCATGCGAAGATCTTTCTGAGATGGAGTCTTGACTGCGCTTAAGTCTACAGAAACTGCGACCCTTACCTGATTTGCAAGAACAAAGGACGCTACTAGGGGCTCCTGGCATCGCTACTAGTAACAAGTGCCTTACTAGTAGAAACAAGCAGATTGTACAAATCCGAATTCACATACTTCAACTTCTGGAAGTTATTGCTGCGCATTCTCCAGACTTTTCACACAACTCAGCACCCACAAAATTCGGTGGTCCAAGCTCCGGATTCAAAAGGTTCTTAGCTTCATTGGACAAGCGTCAGATATATGTTTCTACTGTTGCTCAACAAGGAATGCCTGAGTGGGATCTTTTACCAGAGTGACCACGAGGGCACAAGGATAATGTGCAGTTCTGCTGACAAGGGCTGCTTTGCGAACGTCTCCACATCTTGTGAGGTCCAGTCCTGAGTATACTTTCAATACTGGAGAAATACACAAACTTGAGCCGGCGGTTTGCGTCAAAGAGAGGGCTGGCGCAATCGACTGCAATTTGTCAAGGCCAATCGGCCAATATGTCATGGACTGGATTCAAAACCGAGAAAAGCCTCTGTGGTGCCTGTAGCTGCAAGAATGAATCTGGATTGTATTTAGGTGGAAGTATCGATACCTCTTGGTCGGATGAAGCAGTTCTACCGTTGGGTAGGGGTATATTATTGGTGATGTGAAGCCTATATTTGAGCAGTACCGGCTGTTTTGGCAACGATTGCCTTGCTGGGCCTGTGAGACACCCTTCACTGATTTGATGGTGGTACACCAGCCATTGCTCTTTCCCAAGGTCAGATCCGACAAGTTTGCTGCGCCGTGGCAGATCTTTGCCGGCTATGCGATATGTTCAATCTGGACCCTTTCACATCGTGCTTGAGGGGGCTAGTTGAAAGGCCAATCCACAAGTTGACCCTAATAACTGCTAAAACCTGACAGCTCTTACTATGCTAACATGTAGTCACCATTTGGATCACGATTTTCAACGTTTCAAGGGGGAACCAATGGGAGTTGTTGGAGCGATCGCCCACACAGCCTCGGAAGACGCCTTCGAGTGCAGTGATTGAACATGTGTGAGACTCTAGGAGAATAAATGTGTTAACAATGTGCTGATAAGAGCGATTGCCTCCAACCTACTTGCGATGTGTGAACAATGTTAAGACGTTAAGACCATGTGAGTCATGTTGTTCTTCAGGTGCACTCCTATGGTGGCTCCCCAGCTCACGAAGCCTTTGGTGGAGCTGAGGCACCTTGCCGAACGACGGCGACGGGGACCAAGGATTTGTTTTCAATTGTTCTAAAGTGGGGTCACCAAGGTCCATAGTGGTGCTGCCAGGTTCAAGATGCCAGAGGCTCAGGATTGAAGACTGGAACAACTATTGTAGATTGGAGACCCGTTGTTCAAGAACACCTAGAACAAAGAATTGAAGACAAGAACTACGAGGTATCCGGCATTTTGATTCGTTCGCAGGACTATACTGAAGGACCATACATTTGATACCTCATGCTTTGGACTTAGGATGTACAATTTGGGCCGGTAAGGGGGGGTCTCTGTAACACAAGAAAAAACCGGCCAAAATCAAGAAAACTATGTTTTTGGTCAGTTTTTGAACTTTACAAAAAGTTGATAAATGTGGCAGTTTTTGTGAATTTGCAATTTTGAGCCCTTGAAAAGCTCAAAATCCACCAAAAAAGACACTTTTTTGGAAAACGTGACAAAACTAAGAAAAACACATCTTTTTAGGAAACATCATTTTTCTAGAAAACGCAAAAAAAACAGGAAAAAACACAGTTTTGTATGTTTTGGATCAATCAAAATCAACAGGACCTGGACACACTCTTTTTGAGAAAAGCGGGACACCACCAACATTCTACCACCAAAACAGGTTTCATTGGTTTCATCAAAGGAGATCCAGGTGTGCCCATACAGTGGTCACACGTTGCAGTGCGTGTGGTGAAGCTTAATCATGCATAGAGGAAACCGCTCGGACTAGAACATTACAAAGCAAGTCAGTGCGCAATTTCGTGACAAACCAAATTTTGGTCCTCTCTCCTCTACCCTGAAACCAAATTTTGGTTTCCGTTCCGGCTGCACACGGACGCCCCAGCTTTGCCAAAGCCCCGGCTGTCATTGTCGCTCAGAACGGCCCGCAGGCTCGTGTTGTCAAATGGTTTGGTCAGGTTCATGACCGTGTTTGCGAATCAGCCTCATGTTTGTGAGCAGTAACACAGAAATGTCTATTTGTACCGTGAGCCACAGGGAATCTAAGCAAAGGTGGCTGTTCCTTTTCTCCGGGCTAGGGTGTAGGTGGCCACACATGCAATGTGCGATCCACTGGATTTTGTTTGCGAGCCTGCTCCTCACAAGTTGCGTCGGAGAATCTTGGCAGTGCTTAATGCCAAGTTGTTCTTCTATCTTTTGTTTGGTTTCGGGGTGCTAGTTTGCTGGTCGTGTGACCAGTCATGAAGGAACCCACAGTTCCCAAATAGTTTCTGTCAGGAAGGGCTCCGTCGGCTACGTCCAACAATTCACTCGCAGTGGCGCGTGCCTGCAAACGATCTAGGGCAAAACATTGTGGAGGTGACCCTCAGACTCCTGCTGGCCAATCTTTGGTAGACGAAGAACTACAAATAGCATCAGGGTTCTTACCAGGACGCATAGCGGCCTCGCACATACAAACAGTGGCACGACATGTTCTGAAAGCAATTGCCACTATCGCAAATGTTTGTGGTCTTCTCTCACAGCCCGCGGCAGAACTGACGCAGCAGCTTGGGGAGTTTTGGCAATTAGTGGTGTGGGGTGTGGGCAGGGCTGGGGACTGGACTGGACGGCAACATACGGCTACAGACACGTTCAGTCAGTTCAGTTGTTTGATGAACTGGTGTGGCACCTTGGCAAATCCCACGCAGTTGTCTAAGGAAACCTTCGATCGACGTTTTATACGTGCAAGCAAATTCAACATTGCAGAGATCATGCTGACCAAGCAACGGGAATGGCTGAACTACTGGGTTTCTGGGTTTTCAATTAGTTGCTTTGATGTGGGAAAGGCACCCGGCCCCATCACCCTTACTCTAAATTGTAACCCGTGCAGACTCATTCCTTCCAGCAAGGTGCAATGTCCTGGAGACCCAGACTGTTCAGATCCAAGTGAAATGGGCCTGTTACTGCCAGAGAACTACTTGACAATATCCATGTGGATGTGGGATGAGACGGACATGGGGCACGGGAGTGGCACTAGGAATCATTAGGATATCAGTTGGGAGCCGGATTCACTTGACTTGAAGTAGATGGGGTCCAATTCTGATCGAATTGATCGCATAATTTGTACTGGATTGGATGATTTCAATCCCGCGGAGGAGCAGTTGGCCTCTGATACACAGAGGAAAGGCGTGCCGGGGCCAATGCTGCATATGATGCTGGGAGGTTTCCCATTGGCAAAGCCTATGTCAAAGCGAACCCAAGTCTGAGTCGAGATGTTGGTTTTTTTCTTGTTGGTATCATATTAGTTTGACCAAGTGTTCACTTCATATGGTCAAGTCAAGTTGGTCAAGTAATCAGGAAACAACTTGGGCAAAGCACTGCCAACATTGTGATGTTTTGAACTTAGTGGCAGCGACAGTGGCTTTAGTCTTGATTTACATATGCGCGAGTCGGATTTAATTTAGTCGGTCCATTTTTTCATCCGGCCCCACAGTCTAGGTCGACCATGGTGCAGTACGGCGAACTCAGCGTCAATTGCTCGGAGTTTGTTTTTTAAAAGTTCAGTCGACTTGATTCAGTTGGGTGGCTGGTTTGAGGTTGACCCCACGGACCATGGCTATTCTCCTATCTTTGTTTTTTTTTGGGGGGGAACGGTCGGAGCAGCTGCCAGTCCTGCAGGTTGTGAACCTGGATTCACCACCCTGGGCTGCGCCGCTGCTTTTCAAGGTGTGGTGCTCATTCATTCCAGTCTAGTGTGAGTAGGCTGCGGGATGATAGGAACCAATCTTGGTGCCTCCACTTCATCTACTTCGCTTGACGGCCGCCGCTTTGCTATCCGCAATTGAGAAGTGGAAGCCACTGCCAATCGGTGGGAGGCCAGTCCACTTCGATCTGAAACTGAAATGAAAGTTGTGTTCTTTTTCAGTTGGTGCAGGAACATTCTTGCTAATGATGCAGCCTTCAACCTCACCATTTATGTGGCGGACGGAGCACCATCAAACAATGTGATTAAGAAGGCCGAGGTTGCCACAGCCCAAGTCCAAACTTGAGACTGGGACAACACTAAACGGTGAACGGGAAATCCCTAAGGGCCACCAAACTGAAACATGTAACAGAGTCAGAGTCATGAGTTGTTAAGGTTGAGTCAGTCACGTCACTGACCTTTGTAGCCGCTCAGTCAAGGTTCGGGCGCAAATGGCCAGACCCAACTCTGGGTACAACCAGACGGGAACACCGTTGGCGTGGTTCTTACGCATCAGTGGATCAGCTGCGTATGTGTTATTGTTGGTTCTGAAGCCCAGAGGTGTGCTCACATTTGTCACATGTCTTCCTTCAGGTCCTTGACATTGTATGTCAATGTCACTGCATCCACCTGTGCAATTCCGATCAAATCTTCCGACTGGACTGCCGGCTCGTGGTTCTCACTGTTCTCACCTTTCATTCGAAACTTACAGGTAAGTACTGGTAGTGACTTGAGCGAGTCTAGTGATTTATCTTTAAAAAACATATAATTTATCATATGTAATTTAATGTAATGTGGCAACTGGCTTTTTTTTGTGACACAAAGACTGGCATTGGCGGCGTTGTTTTGTTGCGTGCCCCGGTCTGCCTCATTCTCAGGATTTGCCACTGAAGTGGGAGGAACAGGGCCAGGACCAGTCAGACGGGAAGGGAAAAGGAAAAGGGAAACCCAAAGCAAAGGCAAAAGCGAAGGGGAAGGCAAAACCTGAACCTTCCCCCCAGACAGAGCCTTCCAAGCTCCCAAAGCAAGCCTTTCTAACCAACCTGGTCCGTTGCGGGAACCAAATGTCGAGCAAGTCTTCATGGTCGATTCTACAAAGAACACTTCGGACCTTGATTTGTGGCAGCTTGGTCGAACATCTTTAACCTGTGGACCCAGCCCAAGTAAGAAGCATCTTCCGTCTTAGGCTGTCCGTCCGCACATGGCCCTTTGCCTGGCCCCGATTCAAGGTAACCTTTGCCTGGCCCCTCTCTCCGACTTGAGCGAGGAAATGCGCTTGAGGCGGGAGCAAGAGAATGTGAACACACTCAAACTACTTGGCAAGTGGCAAACAGCAGATGAATTGGAAACCAACAAGAAGACTGCTGTGATGGAGAGCGCAGAAGAGCTGATCATGTTTCTCGACTATTTACTATGTTTTATCATATTGCTACAATGAACCATAATTTTGTTCCAATCGGCAAGCCATTTCTCATGTATTCTTCTGCAACAGTGTGGCTATTGCATGCTAGGTTAGTGGGCAAAAGCAACTGGAATGAACAGGCAATTACTGTTTACATGGAGGATGCAACTTTGCCAGCGTCCCGCTCCGCCGCGGCCAAGCTCTTGGAAGTCTTGGGGCACCACGTTACAACTTTAGTACAGCATCTTTTCCTTCACGTCAAACCTCCTAAGCCAGCACAAAGCCGCTGGACAGGGGTCCCTGCAGTGTCCCAATGGTGCCTCGCCCTGAGCCTATTTCACAGGCTCTTTGTTCCGCTGATGAAGGCATTGTCAGAGAAGGATTCGGGTAACTCAAGCCTGCCAACTACTTTGGACGGGGATGTGGGGATCCAAGTCGCAGTTTCAGTTTGGGGTGGTTCACAGTCAAGCGTCAACACACTCACACCACACATCATATTTGGAGCGTTCTCATGTGTACTGTGTACTGTTGTGTTGCTGCCCGTATTTTTTTTGGGGGGGGGATCAGGTGCAAACTTCAGATTCAGATGCCTTTCGGGCACAGCAGAAGACACGACGGCTTCAACTCTCCCGATGGTTCCCAACTTAGCGCCTGTTCTAAACGAACAATTATAAATAAAAATAATTGAGTGGCAAAGACTTTGAACATGACAGTGGCACTTGTTCAGCAGCTCAGGGCTTCTTCAGTTGGAGCGGAAGTCAAACTGTTTCTGACCCTTGTGGCCAACCAACCTGTCAGAAAGCTGTTGTTTTACATATTGCGGTATGAGCCCATCTCTCAGGAAGAGTTTGAGTGAGAGTTTGAGCAGTTTCAGCTCAGTTACGCAGCTGCTAGTTTGTTGCTCTTTCTTTTGGTCGACTGTAGGCAAAAGGATTTCGAATCTGAAGATGGACAAGCCACACTCCAGCAGTTGTGCGACCAGTACTTGTTCAATATTGA